GACCAAGAATGAAGCTTCTGGATGTGCCTGCTGTAAGGGCAGGAGCAGGGACATAGGTCTGCTGTGATGCTTGGAAAGAGCAAGGGCAGGTGGGAAGCAGGGATGTGCTGCTGGCTGATGTAGCAGGGGGGGTCTTCTTTGCCTTTTTTGCTTAGAGATTTCTAAAATATTTCCACTGAAGCTGGAGAGGAAACAAAGCGACCAGAGCCCGTGGAAAGTGGCAGCAGCTGGAAATGGAGCTTTATTGCAAAATGGCACTTGGTGTCACTCGTGCAGGTGGTGCTGCTGTACTCTCACAGCTTCATCTTCTGGCAGCCTGCTGGTGGCTGACCTGTTTCCCTTTGGAGCCTGGGTTTCAGGGAAGGCTTGACTTTGGTTTTCTGCTGTAGCATTTTTCTTTTTTTCCCTCCTTCCACCTCTGTCCTGACCTGGCCAGACTGTGTTGTCGTCATAATCCTGAGCTGGCTGCATGGCTGTGCTTCCCAGCTGCTGGAACAATGCTGGAAACCACAGGATTAGGTCTTAATGGCAGGATCAAGCTGCTGGGAGATGAGAGGGGAGAAAGCTCCTGCTTACGCAGGTGGACGGGCAGTGCTCCTCAGGAGAGCAAGCTAGGAAGGATCAAACGTCAGAAAAGCAGCTTCTTTCCTGCCTTCTCCCTGCTTTTCTCTGCATTTAGCACATCTTCTGCTTTTCAGGGGTCAGAAAATGCTGGCCCGAGTTTTGTGAAGGTTGTGTTGAGAGGCTGGAGGTGCTTAAACATTTCCTCCCTCCCAGTGGAAAGTGTTGTCTTGAGGGATGGACTTTTCTGGCCACGTTATTAATCCCCAACAGGCAAGTCTGCCAACCACATCAGAACTCTGGGTGGTGCTGCAGCCTGTTGCTGAAGGACACTGAAGCTTTGTGGTGATCTTTAACATTTGTCTTTCAGCTGGTGGGCTTCCTGGGGCACCAAAGAGCCTGGGAAGTGCCTTGGATGCTTTTCAGGGTGACGTTGCTGTTGAGCAACTGCCCCAGATGCTGCAGGGTAGGGTCTCCAGGGTGGTCCTTTGGGCAGGTGGCACAGCATCCCTGTGCAGACAGGTACCCCAGCTGCCCTGTGCTTTCCCTGCACGTGTTGGCAGGGGCTCTTGGTCAATGGGGCTCCAAGGTGTTGGGAGTTTATCAGCCTGCACTGGCCACAGAGCCATTTAGGTTGGAAAAGATCTTTAAGAACATCGAGAACATGTGGTTTTGTGCAGCTGTGTGATGGGTGAGGGTGGCAATGGGAGACCTTCTTGACTGAGTTTGCTTGGCAGTGCCTGGTGTGCCAAGTTGTCCTCTCTGTTTTCAGCCAGCTTGACCAAAGCTTTGCTGCCCCCCAACACAAATACTTAGGAAAAGCAGTTGCACTTGATCTCTGTAACGTTGATGAGAATATTCCATGGCAACATCTACCAAATAAACTCTACCTTGTGTAGAGTTGTTCTGCTGGCAGGACCACCCATCCCAGAGGAGCAAGGGTGACTTCAGTGCAGATAAGAGACACCATCCCTTTGGAGTCTGGGCTCCAAAGACAAGGAACAGTTTTGTGGTGGAGCTTGTTTACAGGAGCCTCAACCACCTTCTCCAAAAGACAAGCTGTGTCGCAGGCTGTCCCAGGGGAGCTGCTCCCCAGTTCTGGCAGCAGATGCCTTGGCTCTCCACGGGGCATTTTCAGAGGAGGTGCAGGCAGCATTTGCTGCAGGACTTGCTCACGCATGGATAACGTGCCCAGGGAGCCAAGGGGAGGAGGAAGAGGAGGAGGAGGAGAGCTGGCATTGGCAAGCACAGAGCCAGCCATGCCTCCTGAGCTCAGCCAAGCCTCCTGCTATCACCCCTCTGAGGGGGCTGCAGGGATCCCAGCAGCTTCTTTTCCAGCTCCTGTTTGGAAACCAGGCTGGGAAATAAAAGTCCAGCCCAGAGCTCAGTCTCCCTCCCTTCTGCCTCACGTGCCATCTCCCAGCTGGAAGATGATCATGGTATTACATTAATTTAATACGAGGTGTTCAGAATTGCCCTAATTAGAAGGTTGTGCTCAAATTTGAGGAGGGTGTCAGTATTTATGAGGTATCAGCAAGTGTAAAGGCAAGAGCACCTCCCTAGGTGATTGCTCCAACCTCCAGAACACTGGAAAGGATTAAAATCAGAGTGTGTATGTTTGTGTGTGGTGAGCAGGAGTCTTTCTGGGCTTATATTTCCCTTCCTCTTCTTCTCCTTCGTCACTGGTGCCTGAGCTGCTCTTTCAGATCAGGAGAAGTCCTGATAGATGAAGGAATTTCATCTTCCCAGAATTTAACATAGATAACTCTCAAAACCAAGGGAGGAGGAAGAACCAGGTTGCTCTGTGTGCTGGTGGTGCCTCCTCTCCCAAAAGGCAGCTGCAGTTAGAAGGGCTGTTTATTCTACAGTGGGATCACCCCTGGGAAGGAGGTTCTCCAGCTGTTTTGGGACAGCTCAGCACTCCTGATCCTGCAGAGATGTTGGGCTGCTCCCCTCCATGGATATGCCTGGCAGGATGCTGCCTGCTCCTCCCCCTGTGGGTGCCTGGGCAGGATGCTCAGCCAAGCCTCTCCTGGCTTGCTCTGCAACCTCCATTGTGGGGCCAAACTCAACACCTACTGCTCCTGATGCTCTCCTGATGCTGCTTGTTTGGCCTCTGTGGGGCTGCACTGGGTTGGAGCTGGGCTCTAGGTCCCCTCTGCCCGTTGGGCTGGATGTAATGGTGTCCTGGGGGCTCTCGAGGAGACAGACAAAGAAGCCATTTCAGAGCTGCTGGGAACTAGGCAGAATACCATGGAGAAGAGGAAGGTTCTGAGATGGGTCTCTCTCCAGGCAGGGAGTGCTCCAAAATGCTCAAAATGGCGTTTGGGGGATAATTTCTCCCCCCCCCAGCCCTTTGTCTGTGCAGAAGGAGGGCTCTGGGGGGGAGGTCAATGCCTGGGCTCTATTGTTCCCATCATCTCCATTGAGCTTCTGAACCCCCCCCCTCTATAAAAGACTTACCTTTCACTAGTATGATTAAGAAAAGGCCAATGTAGCTCTCCTGCTCGCTGGAGCATGAAGCGTGTTTAATTTAATAATGCTGATAAATCTTAAAGCCAGGAGCATTTGGCAAACACATGACCCACTTTTTCAATCAGTTGGAAACATTTACATAACGGCCCAGTGCAGGGTCCCCCCTGAGAGGGACGTGGAGCAGAGGCTGGCAGACCAATCCCTGGGAAGTCCTGCTGCTCCGTGGCATCCCAAGAGGGAAGACGTGCCAGTTTGGCCAGTCCTTAGCAGGCAGGTTGTGACCCACCTTGCTGGGAACACCAGCTCTCGTGCTGCCACGGGGCTGTGCCTGGGTCTGGAGCACCTCAGCCACCCCACTGGGCTTTGGGGTCCATCCTTTTCACACCCCAAAATCAGCAGGGGGTTACCCAGCACAACCGGTCGCTTCTCCTCGCCTGCCTGCAATGGGCTCAGTCTTGAAGGAGAAATGCTGTGATCTAGCACATTGTGCTGTCATGTGTCAGTCTGTTCCCATTGCTCTGGTCCCCAAGGTCATCATCAGCTTCTTCCTCCAAAACAGACTCCTCCTCACCCCTTCTGACGGAGCCTTTTGGCTGGATGTGTCATTTCTTGCCCTCCTGGCGAGGGTTTCACGTTTTGGTTTATTGTCACCTGCAGGCAGGGTCTGAGCAACCTCATTCCCAGTGAGCCTGGCTCCTGTTAGCTCAGTGGGAACACCACCTTGCTTTTACTCATTTTGGGTTTCAGCAGAACCTCTTGCAAGAGGAGCTTTTAGATCCAAGCCATGATTTGTGCATTGCTGCCTTTTTACATTCAAGTACCACTGGAGAGCTGCTTCACCTCCCATTGTTCAGTCACATGAAGTCCTTGTCTGAACAAAGGAAAATGCTTGTGACCAGGCTTAAAAATCTCCTACTTGATTTGTGCTGAGGAATTAAATGGGATGGGGGGGAATTGCTCTCCATCTCTCAGCATTGCAGGGAGAGGAATGCTGGCACCTCCCTCTGAGACAGACAGGACCTGTCTCCCCAAGCCTGCAGAGACATCTCACATGCTTGGTCCTTGCTCAGAGGTGCTTCCTAGGAGGCATCAGGAAAGAAGGGGAAGGGTCTGTTGCCATTTGGTGATTTGATGTAATTTTTTTCCTTCCTGCCTTCAATATATCAGTGGAAATTCCAATTTCCCTCTAGAGGGCAGAGGAGGAGAGAGAATGGAAAGGGAAAGGCACGTGGCAGCAGTGGGAGAACTTGCAGAGGTTTGGTTAGATCCGTGCAGAGCATGAATAGCTGGAACTGGTGTGGCCCTGGCACACAGAGCCCAGCCAAAGGGCATGCAGGTCAGCTTGAAAACCCAGACATGTAGCAGCTGGGACACCAGCTCTGGGCTCCTGGGGTCAGACAGACATTTCCTGGTTACTGAAAATCTGCTGGTTTGATTTTCTCCGTCTCGTATTCACGCTCGAAATGGTGAATTTTGGTTTGCCTGGTAGGGGCTCTGGGTCTTTTTGAACTCCCAGCTCAGCTGTTGGTGTTTGGCCAGGCTGCCCCAACTCCTCTGTCCGTGGGCAGAGCTGCTTTTTGGCTCTCTCAGGTGTGGGGTGCCAGCCTGGCTGTGCCACCTCGTGCTCTTCAGCCTTGGCTCCCACCGTGGCTTTGGCAGGAAGCTGTTGGCAGAGCTGTGGGTCATTCCCAGCCTGGCATGGTCCCCCTGGCAGCCCTACCAGCACCCACGGAGGTTTTCATCCCAGGACATCTCCCTGCAGCTCCTCCAGCTGTGACATCTCCCTGCAGCTCCTCCAGCTGTGACATTCCCACGCAGCTCCGCAGGGTCCGTTCCACGCGGAGGATCCCCTTGTGAGAGGAAACCTTTCCCCTCTCTGTCCCCAGGTGACACGGCTGTGGTGCTGCCTCCTCCTGCCCCAGGGCTGCCCTCCCAGCTAACACACATCTCCCATCTCCTGCCAGGAAATGGAGTCCAAGGTCTCTGAAGGCGGCCTGAACGTCACCCTCACCATCCGGCTGCTGATGCACGGCAAGGTAAGGGGCTCCCAAAAAGGGGGGGGTTCCCTCTCAGCTCCCACTCCTCATCCTCACTGCAGCTGTGTCCAGGCAGTCCCTGCAGCCCCAGGCTCCTGCTGGGAGCAGGATTCCTCCTGCTGGTGGGGTGGGTGGCTCCTGGCCCCTCTCATGCCTCCACCCACCCTGTCCTTCTGCTGGGGACAGTGTGCCCCAGGTCTTTGCTTCATGATGGGGTTGGCTTGATGTCTTCTAATGTCTTTTCTTTTGTGTTTGGCTTGTTTTTCTTTTGGTAGGAAGTCGGGAGCATCATTGGAAAGGTAAGGACACCTTTGAAGTGTGTGTTTTCCTGCTATTGCCTGCACCATGTTCTGCCTGTGGTGTGATAGATGCCAGAGCCACCTCCTCCCTGAACTGTCCCTTCCGTGTTCCTTGTGCATGACCCTGTCACTGGGTTTGTGAGGCAGGCATGATGTGCAGACCCACTGAGGGACCAAAAGACCATTCCCTCAGGAAAAAAAAAACAACCACCAAACTTACAAATAGGTGTTTCTGTTGCCCAGCAGGTTAATTAAATAGATTAATCAAGAGAGAGAGAGAGAAATGTCATGCAAACCCATCTGAGGACGCAGGACTTAGGTCGTGCAGAAAAGCCTCACAAGGTGCTCTCTGCTCCCTGGTGCTTGCTGGGATAGTTCAGGAAGTCCTGGCTAAACAGGGATGGGTTTTTGGTGTTTTGAAAAGGCAAGTTTATGGCAGCAAATATTTGCAGGTTAAACACCTCCTATATATTTGCACCCTATTTTTCCATCAACCTGCCCAGGCCTGGGAAGATTTGCACTTGTACCTGCTTCATGCTTGGATATAAAGTAATGAGATCTCTCCAGATAACTGCCCTTGGAAGCTGAAGTGACAGCTTCTCACAGCATCCAACTGGTTTCTGAGCTTTTTCCATGTGGTTTTCTTCCTAATGGGCAATGCAGAGGTAGAGGTGGAAGCTGCAGTGGTGTAGCTGGTCTGTCTGTCGTATGTTACAGACCTGGGGAGCAGGGCCATGGTGGCTCAGCCTGCCCCTCACCTGGGGATGGAGGGCCAGGCAGTGCAGAGCTGGCCAGGTCTTTGGCTGTGTATTGAGTTGGGTTTGTTCAGCCTGGAGAAGAGAAGGCTCCAGGGAGACTTTAGAGCACCTTCCAGTGCCTGAAAGGGGTACAGGGAAGCTGGGGAGGGGCTTGGGACAAGGGCAGGGAGTGATAGGATGAGGGGGAATGGGTTTAAGCTGAAAGAGGAGACATTAAGACTAGGTATTAGGAAGAAATTTCTTTGCTGTATGAGTGAGAGCCTGACCCAGGTTACCCAGAGAAGCTGTGGCTGCCCCATCCCTGGCAGTGTTGAAGGGCAGGTTGGATGGGGCTTGGAGCAGCCTGGGCTGGTGGGAGGTGTCCCTGCCCATGCAGGGGGATTTGGAACTGGATGATTTTTAAAGTCCCTCCCAACCCAAACCAGTCTGTGATTCTGTGATTAGAGATGCATGTCTGGAAGGGTTGTTTTGAAGGTGGAAGTCCTGATTTTTTTTACAACAGCCTGTGTTTCTGATTCCTTTTTTCAGAAAGGAGAGACCGTGAAGAAGATGCGTGAGGAGGTGAGCAGCCCTGCTCTTGAAAGGGATTTGTGGGAGGAGGGAAGAGGAGTGGGAAGGGCTGTTGGGTTGTCCTGCCCAGCACAGTGGCCAGGGCTGCACGTGGGATACGTGCAGTAATTCCCAGAGTCAGGACACACAAGCTGGCTGTGCCCACAGCCCTTTGGTCCAGTTCTCTCAATCCACATTCAAACAAACTCCTGTCCCATTAAATGAGGCACTTTCCAGAACCAAGACTTTGCCCTTAATGAAAGCAGTGAAATGAAGTCACTCCTAAGATGCTTGAGTTTGCCCAGGGTCTTTGTGCCTACAGCTGCCAAGGAGTTAATCAGATCAGTAAGCAACACTCTTCATGAGCAGTGACCCCGTGAGCTGGTCTTACCTGGATCATGTGGGTTTGCTCTGCAGTAAAAGACCCAAGCTGGATGCTTGGAAACCCTGCCTGAGGGTTGGAGTAGTGCAGCTCTGGAAGCACCACAGGGAGAAGGGGTGGGACTTTTAAAGGTTAGATGGGATGTTGATTAGGCTGGGAGAGGTGATGACCAGAGACCAAGAAAGCAATGCACTTGCTGGCCTCCTGGGGCTCAATCTGAGCTTCTGCTCTTGAGTGTTGAACCTTCCCAGGTCGGGGCAGGATGCAGCCTGGAGGAAGGGCTGCACATCCTCCCTGCTGGTTGCTTGGCTGTGGTTATTCCAGGCCTTCCCTTCTCTTTCCAGAGTGGAGCAAGGATCAACATCTCGGAGGGGAACTGCCCTGAGCGGATCGTGACCATCACTGGCCCCACTGATGCCATCTTCAAGGCTTTTGCCATGATTGCCTACAAATTTGAGGAGGTGAGCAACGGGGAACTCTTGGCCTCAGGAGGGGAGAATAAAATGGTCTGCATCCAGATCTTTGGGTAGGCCACTGGGCAAGCAGGTCTCTGCTGTACCCACTGCAGGGGCAGCAGTGCAGAGGGCCTGGGTACCTCCAACCTATGCGTGCCTGGTTGGGCTTGTTTAACTGGTACACAACCTTGGCACAGAACCTTCCAGACATCTCTAACTAGGCAAGAACTGAGCTTCAGTGAAGTATCCTGGAAGTCTCACAGTTAATTTTTAATTCTCAATGGGCAGTGATGCAGCTGCAGACCTGTTGGGTGGGGGGCTGGGGGATGTGACCCCTCTCCTCTGGCCCCAGGGTGTTTGGGTTTGGCCTGGATGGCAAGGCTGGGCACCACGGGCTGATGTGTTGCCTTCTTCCTTCTTCCCAAGGACATAAACAACTCAATGAGCAACAGCACTGCCACCAGCAAACCCCCGGTGACGCTGAGGCTGGTGGTGCCAGCCAGTCAGTGCGGCTCACTGATCGGCAAAGGAGGCTCCAAGATCAAGGAAATCAGGGAGGTAAGGCAGGCCTGGCTTTGGTACTGCATGTAACTGCAGCTCTGACCCCTTGGAAAAGGGGGACCCTCGTGCTGTGACCACCGTGCTTCCCAGAAGGGTAGGAGCAGCATCCCGTGGGACTTCCCCGGTGTGCAAGGGGCAGCGCTGCCCTCGGGAAGCCTGTGGCATCAGAGCTGGATCTGGCTGCCAAGGGCAAGGCATTCAGCTGTGGGAAATTCTCCTCCTCTCTCTTTCTGTCTCCAGTCAACAGGTGCTCAGGTTCAAGTGGCGGGGGACATGCTGCCCAACTCCACGGAGCGGGCGGTGACAATCTCGGGGACACCCGACGCAATTATCCAGTGTGTCAAACAGATCTGTGTGGTGATGCTGGAGGTACAGTCTGTGACCACGGGGGTAAAGTACATAGGAAAATAAACCCAGCTGGCACCACGGGAGAGCTGGGAGCTGTGGAGCGTGTCTCTCATACCCGTCACCACGCGTTGTCGGACCACTCATTTCCTGGTACCTCTGTTGGAAACCCACCCCGTGTGCTTTCCCCACCATCTTCACACTTTTGTTTCTAGAGTCCCACGCTGGGAACCTGCCTGGTCAGGTGCCCCAAAGGGAGATGCTTTGTGTTGTGGCACAGGGTTGGCTCCAGGGGAGAGGGGTGCCAAAGGAAGCCAAGATGGGCTGGAATTGCCATCGCCTGGTGTCCCAGCAGCTCCAAGGCTGCTGTGGGAAGGGGGTGGGAGCTGCAGCTGCTCCAGCAAGCACCAGCATGGAGCTGGCAGAGCACTGTGAGGACCACGGCTGGGAGGAGGAGCCCAGTGCATCCCCCTGCACTGGGGGAGCCAGGGCTGGGAGTGCAAACCAAGGCTCCAGCGAGGCACGGTGGGAAAGGTGGTGAGGAAGGCTGGTGGAGAGCAGGGCTCATGTGTCAAGGGCACCATTTTCTGGGAGAAATGCTGATGAGCAGAGTTTGAACATCTCTGCCATGGAGAGATGCTGCCAGTGGCTTCTTGTCGACTGCAGCCACGTGCCCACCATCCACACCTGCCTCCTCAGATGGGAGAAGCTTCAGGAGGAAACCCTTTGGGACATGGGACAATGACACCCTCTGCTCCTGGTGCCTCCCAGAAGTGGAAGGGCACAGACCCCCCACCTCAGGCCTTGCTGCACAGCCCACACACTGCTTCCCTGTCACGGTGGGGAGGAGCAGGTTCAGCACTGCAAGAGCTTCAGATGAGGTTGCCAAGGCTCAGTGGAGGTGAAGGAGAACCAAACATAAGCAACTTCAGGTGGGCAGCAGCACAGCTGAGGAGGAATTGCCACCATCTATGTTCCCCACCACTGCTGCAGTGGTGCATTCTGCTCAAGAGGGTGCATTCTGCGACCAGAGGAGTGTGACTTCAGGCACATGGTGACTTCAGGTTATGCTCTCACAGACCAAACTGCTGCTCCTCTCTATGGCTCAGCTGTAGGAAAGGGAAAAACCTGTGAGTTTTCTTGGAGTCTGAGAAATCCCCTGACTTGAACACTTTGCAGAGATGCTCCTCGTCACCTTTCAGTCTTAAATGATCTCACCAGAGAAATCCTTGCTTCATCCCCTCCAAGGTTTGTAACGCAGTAAACAAAAGCATGCAGACCTGTGGTTGTGATTGTGCAGCTTTCCTGGAGACCTGTGCTTAGCAGGAAGGTTGGGAAATGCCCCTTGACTAAAAGTGGACATTTAGAAGAATGTACAGAAAAAGATAAAAGAGTTTTCCATGAGATAATGTAATTTATATGGACTATCTTTACAGAGCAGTCATGGAGCCATTTGACTTCAGGTTGAACCAAGAGGCTTTTATCTGAAATCTCTCCAGATCCCTAGAAGCCTCCAAAATCTCTCCTGTGGCCTGTTCTATGTTCAAGAGAAAACCAACACAGAGAACGTGGGTGAGAAGGTCATTTCAGCTTGATGTGCATCACTGCAGCTTTCTGCTCAGACCCATCCAGGTGCCAGTCAGGGAGCAGCAAGATGTTCTGGCCAGCCTGGAGTGGGGCTGCCCCGGGTCGCTGCTGCAGGAGGAGGGCTGGGAGAACACATGGGTCGCTGCCTCTGCTGCTGACACCTGGCTGGCTGGCATCCCACGGGCTGCTGCCACGATGCAGCTCCAGGAGAAGACCTCTGGTGTTGCCATCTGAGAGGGGTTTCCAGCTCCTCCAGAGCTTGGCACCCTGGCCGAAGCGGTTGCTGCCGCTTGTCCCACCGGGGCACAGGAGGTCTTGAACCACAGTGACAACACCTTGCAGTGACAACACCTGAGCGAAGGTGACCCCGTTCCAGTGGGTGAGGAAGATGAGAGGGATCCAAGATCTGGAGGATGGTTCTGGGTCCCTCAGCTGCTCACTTGTGGTGCCCGTGCTCGTGGTTCCGCGGCTGCCGAGCGCGGCTGGCACGACCCCAGGCTGGCTGCCAACCCGCAGGAGCTCTCAGGCTGCAAGGAAAGCTACTGCACAAGGAGGTTCCTGGCAGCCAGGGATGAAAAGCCTGGTCCGTGGCTCTACCTCCCCATCTCCCTGCACCTTGAGGGGCCTCCTTGACGTGTGTGAGAGGAGGGCACCGCGCTCCAACCTTGGAGTCTAGACCAGTGCAGCTTGTGGAGAGCAGAGCGAGGGAGAGACCGTGGAGGTCTGGCCGGGTGTTTGAGACTCCCGTGCCTTGGCAGGGGATCTCCTGGAGCCCAGCTTGTCTTCGTTGCCCAGTTCCACACCCGTTTCCCCCCCGTGTCCTCCTGTCCAGAAACGCGGTTTGCCTGGTGCGGGTGTTGCCGGGGGCGGCCCCGGGGGCCGTCGGGTGCTTTTCTAACACTCTCTTATTTTTTTTGCCGCCGTTTCAGGAAAGCTGTTCTAATGTTCTCTCTCCCTCTCCTTGTCCCTTTTCCTAGTCCCCACCAAAAGGTGCCACCATCCCCTACCGCCCAAAGCCCGCCTCCACCCCTGTCATTTTTGCAGGTGGTCAGGTAAGAGCCGACCCGCTTGCAGCCTCCACTGCCAACCTCAGCCTTTTACTGCAGCACCAGCCGCTGCCCGTTAGTGCACTCAGGTTTCTTGCCTTCTGACTTGCATGGTGTCATCCCATCCGTCGTGTTGCCGGGGCAGCTGGGACTCAAAGCTCTTTGCAGAACCACTTTGGCAAGGCCCGGGCAGATGGGTCAGCTCTTGGGGTGGCTGCTGGAGGAGAAGGGGAAGGGGGTCAGCCCAGAGGGTTTTTCAGCTCCGCCGGGCGCTCGTGCGCCAAGAAAAGGCTGGAGTTTGCTTCTGTAGAACCAAGTTCAGTGTTTGCCAGCAGGTAGCAGGGTGAAGGAGGGAATGAGAAAAGCCCCACTGAGGGAGAGGCCGTGACCATGCTCTCACGGTGGCCACAAGGGTTTCTTTTCTGGCATCTCTAGTCAAATTCAGCATCATTTTGCATAGCTCTAAGTGGTCCGAGGTAGAATCATAGAATCATCTCGGTTGGAGAAGTCCTTTAAGATCATCAAGTCCAACCATTAACCTAACTCAAAGGGGTCATCCTACCCGCTCCAGGACCGTGCTGAGCCTCCATTCAGGGCAGCCTCCATGAAGGAGTCATCCCCATCACTGGTGCTCAGCTTGTCTGGGGGTGCTGCTCCCCCCAGAAAGGCCATAACCTCTGCTGCAAAGCTGGGTAGCAGCTCTGCCCACGGGAGAGCCAGCATCATGCTGGCTTGGGTGGCTGTTCTGCAGACAGAAATGGGCAGCATTTGAGTTGTGAAACAAGAACCATTTAGCAGGTGGTGGCTTTTAAGGAGGGAACTTGAAAAAGAGGGGGTTTTATCTACCTCGTCTTCTCACCTCTCCAGTTGGCTGAGGATCTGCCTGTAGATGCCATTGCATTGTGGTGCAGGAGGGGAGCCCCAGCAGCCAGGTAGAGTCAGCACCAGGTAGCTAATGCCATCCAGAGCAGCACCACATGAATTGTTATAACCATGATAAATAGCAGAAGGGCAAACTGAGGCTGGAAGCAGAGCCAAAAGCACAAGCTATTTCAGGCAGCACACAGTGAATTTGCATCTCTTAGTCACTGCCTGCATCAGGAGGAGGGTGCCCTTCGGTCTGAGCAGCTGTCCTGGAAAAGAGCTTTGAGTCTAGCTGCCTGGTGAACTTATCTTCTCAAAAGAGAGAGTAAGATGGAGGTAGTGTTCCTCCTGCTGGCCAAGGGTTGGTGTCTTGCACAGAAGTGACACTGGGGAGAAGCAGGTGCCTCTGGGATGAGAGAGAGCTCTTCCCTGCTTCCCCCAGGGGTGGCACAGGGTGGGTGGGCAGAGGACAGCAGGTGGCAGTTGGTGGTGCCAGTGAGATGCTTTGGGGAGGGTTGGACCTGCAGGCTGAGGGACGTGGTGGCTGGTGGCAGCTGCCAAAGGGATCAGCCCCTTTGTCCAAAGGGATCAGCCCCTTTGTCCACGAGTGACATCAGCCTCTGCAGAAGGTCACACAGGCAGGTGCTGTCAGAGTGGGGTTGCATCTGTCCAAGACACCTTCCAGCCTTCAATTGGCTCTTTCTAATCAAAACCTGATGAGAAATGAAGCTGCCAGGAAAGAGCCAGCTCTTCAGAGCAGCCCCTGCCACGTCCCCACGGTGTGTGGGGCTTTGTCCTCCTCCAGGATTTGGGGGCTTTTCCTCACTCAAAGCTCTTTGCTGTTTGCAAACGACGCAGCAAATCTGCAGGAGGTTCAGAGAGTTGGGTTTTTCCTCTTTGCTGGCTATCTTTACTCTCCCTTTTTAAAGTGTTCTCCATCTCTTTCTTTTCAGAATCATCTGAGTTTTTGTGTCAACACGTGATACGTTTTGCTAGCTGGTTAAGTCCCAAATACTGGGCTCTCTAGGGTCTGGCTTTTAAGCACAGTGGTGCTTGTTTTCAGGTTATTGACAAAAGAGCTACAAATCATGGGGAAAGTCATTCAAGAGCTTGCCTAGCAGGCATTGCATGGATTTGTTGGGTGGAAGGCATTGCAGTGCAGGCAGCCTGTCCCTGAGCCCTCTCCATGCCTGGGGAGACCTCAGCACCAGCTGCTTTCTGTACAGCAATGACTTCCCCCCTCCACAGCACTGGAATGTACTGGGAAGATGGGAAGTGTGTTGAGAGTTGACAATACAGAGAGGCTCCCTGGGCTGGCTGGCTTTCTAGGATTATGTTTAGGGTGCAAAGGGCAGCAGTAATGTTACTGTGCTTCACTGGTTTGATTAATACCTTTGGCACAGCAAAGCCCAGTCTTCCCACTCCATGCAATTCTGGCCCCATTCAAGAGTTGTTTCCTTCCTTTTGGAAAAGCCAAGCTGAGCCTGAGCCCTTCAAGTTGAGTAGCTCAGTGTGCTCTGGTGTTGATCAGAGGGGTATGTCTCCCTCCTGCCCCAGCACAGGGGCAGCTCTTCCCCTGGTGGCTCTTAAGGCAGCACAGGGGAGGGGTCTCGCCCTGGGCTAGCCCAGGGGGTGTGCAAGGCAACTGCCTGCTGCACAGAACAGGCTTCCCTCATCCCCTCCAGCCCCAGCATCAGGCTGGCTAGGTCAGAATTCCAGGTACTGCACCCTGCTTTCACCAGCAGCAGAGCAAGGGGAGAGGTGTTCCCATGGGGGGTGTCCTGGGCAGAGCAGGGTGGGGGATGAGCTCTCCTGTCTCCCCTCCATTAACAGCATTTACCCCACGTCAGGCAGAAAGGAGCAGAGCCTGGGGACAGCAGTCCTTGTGGAGAGGGTTGGGGCTTTGCCTCACCTCCTGCCAGTCCTAATGGTGTCTTTTTTTCCTTTGCAGGCCTATACAATTCAGGGACAATACGCCATTCCACACCCGGATGTGAGTTTTACCCTCATTTTTCTTACACCCTTTCATGTCACCTGCATGCTGGTGTTGATACACATCATATTAATATTAGACAATAATATTAATAGCACATTTTCAAAGTAACTGGCCGTGTATAGTCTCTGTAATACCTTGAATAGCCTTTTAACCTGTTAGCTCTAAACTTTATTAGTTCTGAGGACTTGGCCTGATGCTAAATTGTTTGCATTGTTCAGTGCTATCCCTTTGTTCTGAGACAAACCATACTCTATGCATTTTGTGCCTCAAAATGAGCAAAACACGCCGAGAAAGGGAACAAAAAAAGATGTTTTCTCCTCTATTTCTCCCCTTATTCTTAAAATGTTGGTAAGCCAAGGGCTTATTGAGGTGCTGAGTGCCTTGGTGGGGTGGGGGGAAGCCAGAGCTCCAGGGGTGTGGGGTTTCTTACTTGAAGCCTGGGCAGGGGGATGTTCCTTTTTGGGGGATCCTCCTCAGGGTGACTCAGAAGCAGGGGCCAAGGCTGGGCAAAATGTCACCCACGTCCCCTGGGGCCGTTCTGGGGAGCTCTTGGAAAAAGCAGGGGTTTTCTAAACCGTGTTCCAGAGGGGGGTGAAAGACCTGGCGAGTCCCAGCGTGGAGGCCCCTTCTTGCTGGGACGTCTGTGAGTCAGTGGGGGCTGAGCACAAAGTGCCTCTCTGGGGATGGGGGTGGAATAAGCCCCCCCCCAGGAGGCACGGGAAGAGCATGACATGGTGTTGCTCTTTCTGAGGGATGCTTGGGTATTAAATCAGGGGGTTACTTTTTTGTATGCTGGAGAACAGGGCAAGGCTGTTGGATGCCACTAGCGCACCCTTAGGAGTTGTGGGCTGGGCTTTGTCCTTAGGGGTGTTGATTCCACCCCATTGAGTGGAGGCCAGGCTTTGTTTTTTCTGCATGTACTTAAGAGTGGGGGGCTGTGATGGTGGCTCAGAGATATTCTCAGCTCTGTGTGCTTCACTTCTGCTCCCTGAGCAGAACATAAACACACCTGCGGATCCAGTGGGCGTTGATTGAGATGTTCTTTGTTTCCTCTGCAAGTGGTGGTGACAGCTTGGGAGTGTTCTCCTTGTTACCAGACTCCTCTGTTTGACAGGTATATAATACATTTAAGACATTTGCTGGCTGTGCTCTTCCTGCCTCCCAGCAGATTTGCTGAGACCTGGAAATAGTTGTTCCTAAGGGTGGGTCACAGGCCCCATCCTTCCTCTCATAGCTCTCTTACAAGGATTGGTCATTTTAAACACTGCTCAGTGCAGAAACCAGCAGTGAACATGATTTTTAGGGCATTGCCCTCATTCTCAGAGGTGTCTGTGTTTAGCAGATGCCTTTTGCAGACCCGTGGCTGCAGAGTGGATGGAATTGGGAATGCCAAAGCCAAAGTGTGAGCTCCTGCCTTGACTTTCCCCCTCCCCGGGAAAAACCCGCTCAGGTCAGTGGGAGTTTTGGCAAATGAAGGGCTTGGGTGTTGCCCGAGCACTCGTGAGGCATTTGGGATGGGATGTGTGGCTTCCTGCCTTCACAGAATTGGTGGTGGGAGATGAAGGGATGGCTGCAGCAGCCAGGAGTCACAGGTGTGGGGGAGTGAAATGAATGTGGAGTGCAGGAAAGCTGCCAAAGCAGGGCACTGCTCCTGGGGATGCAGCAGCCTGGCAGACAATGAGATGTATCTGGGTGTTGCTCTGGGTGCTTAGTGATGTCTTGGGCATGGCTGTGTGTTGTCATAGAATCATGGAAGGGTTTGAGTTGGGAGAGATCTTAAAGATCATCGAGCTCTAACCCCCCCCCTGCATGGGCAGGGACACCCCCCACCAGCCCAGGCTGCTCCAAGCCCCATCTAATCTGCCCTTCAACACTGCCAGGGATGGGGCAGCCACAGCTTCTCTGGGCAACCTGTGTCAGGGTCTCATCACCCTCACAGGAAATAATTTATCCCTAATGTCTCATTTAAAGCTCCCCCTTTCAGCTTGAAGCCATTCCCCCCTGTCCTGTCACTCCATGCCCCTGTAAAAAGTTCCTCCCCAGCTTTCCTTCAGGCACTGGAAGGTGCTCTAAGGTCTCCCTGGAGCCTTCTCTTCTCCAGGCTGAACACCCCAACTCTCTCAGCCTGGCTCCAGAGCAGAGCTGCTCCAGCCCTCTGAGCATCTTCATGGCCTCCTCTGGACTCATGTCCTCCATGTCCTTCTTATGTTGGGGACTCCAGAACTGGACACAGTACTGCAGGTGAGGTCTCACACAAGCCAGGCAGAGTGAGTCCCAGCACTGCTATCCTATCCTGTCCCTCCCAGCATGACTGGTGGGGGAACTCCCTTCTGGTCTGTGTAGGAACCCAGAGTTTGAAGAAACGGTCTCAGGTTTTTGCTTCCAGCTTTTTCCAGGAAACATTTCATGCTCTGCAACCATTTATGTAGCAGCCTTCACTTGAAGTCCAAGGCATAGCCATCCTCTCTTCTTGCAGGCTTTATTAATTGCTGTAATTATGGGACTTTGCTAAACACTGCTATGCAAGCTATGTCTTAAAAATATGCTAGATAAGTATTAGAAAGAATATTGTGTTTCCCCCACTGGACAAAGCAGGACCCCTGCCCTGGGGGCACAGTTGGAGCCTGAGAGGCTCTGTCTGCCTGGTGCCCCACAGCATAGAGGGGCAAAGAGCTTCATCAGGAGCTTTCATCTGGAGTGGGACTGGTTGAGCTCTGCACGCAGGGTGGACTTGGGTTTGATTTGGTAGAAAACAGGGCAGTTGTTAAGTGAAAAAGCAGTGGGTGCTGATGTCCCTGCTGCCCTCAGGATGGCTGCTCCTATCCAGACCTGGCTGTGTTTCAGCACAAGGACCCGTCGTAGCACCACCTTTGGCTGATTTTCCATGCTGCACTGGGAGAGGTGTGCATGTGCCCCTTCTCCTGGGGTGGTGAGACCTCTCCCATGAGACCTACCTCTCCCTCGGGTACCTCTCCAGGGACCTGCAGATGTTTCCCCTCCTTGCTGTCTTCTTTCCAGTGTCTCTCCCGGTGTGCTCAGCCTCTCTGATCTACTCTTTCTAGCTCTGCTGCCAGCCAGACCTCCCTGCACTCCCTCCCCAGCCATGCTTGCAGGAGCAAGTTGGTTTTTGAGTGTTGTTTCCCCCAAAAATGTGGAAATGATAACCCTGGCCTCTCTCTCACTGGGGAGGCTCAGGTGCAACGAGCGGTTTGGGTTTCGGGGATGATGCAGTCCTAGCATCCCTCTGAGCACCTGTAAAACTGCTGAGCAGGAGGTGGGAAAGACCCTCCTTCTTGTTCACTTCCAGACTTCAGCCCTGTTTGTGTTGTTTACTTTTGCTCTATTGGTTTTTCTTATCATTTGGAGCAGGGAAACAAGAGCACAAAATGTATTCCAAACTCCTCTCTATGCAACCGCTTCCTGACGGGGCACAAAAACCTACCTGGCACAACAAGGGATACAAGGATCTGAAATACCTACTGGTCATGGCTGAAGCCCATATTTCCCCACACTGCCAAGGGGCTTGTGCTCCTCATGAGCTGATGTTGAGAGCCGGTGTTTCTCCATCTCCCAGGGGCTTTTCCCACCAGAGGCAGAACACGAGAGCGTTTGCTGCCGGGACGAGCGGTCCCGATGCAGCTCCAGCAGCACAAGGAGGGTCTTTTGGCTGCTGGCAGGTGATGGCCACCAGGCTGGCAGTGCCTCTGAGGCAGCTCCTCTGCTCTAAAGCTACCCTGAAGCAAGCAGCAGGGTTCTGGTGGTGGGTTGCAAAGGCTGGGAGTGGAAGGCAGCAGCTGGAAGTGCCACAGGTGAGGGAGCTGAATCGTGTGACGAGAGGCAGAAACTAAGAATGGGCTTCTTGCTGGTATCGTACTTCAGACCCTGACCAAGCACTTCTGCAAAAGATTTGGGCATTATTGCATTTCACCCAGGCCAAGTCCTTCTGCTAATGTTCTCGCCATGTCTCACCATGGCATCCTGGTTTGGTTTTCTTTTCTTTTTTTTTTCCCCTTCCTTCCGTTATAATTTTGCTCTTGATTTTCGGTGTGACTTGTTGTACTCTATGCCAATAACCTTCTTAGCTCTAATGTCCCTCCTACCCCTCAGCAGTTGACCAAGCTCCACCAGTTGGCTATGCAGCAAACCCCCTTTACTCCCCTTGGACAGACCACCCCCGCTTTCCCTGGTACGTACCCACATGCCCTTTCTAGATCTCCTTCTCTTCTTACCTGTAGAGTTTCTCTGTCTTTCTAAACTCGTGCTATTTATTGGAGGCATCAGGGCAAGTAAAGCTGAGGTTGCAGGGTCCGTGGGGAAAGGTTAACAGGGAGGCAGGATGGATGTTTGGGGTCTTCACAGGCAAGCTCTCAGCCATTAACTGTGCACACCTGGACTGCTCCTGGGAAGCCACCATTACCATGCTCCCAGCTTTGCTGGCTTTCTCAGCAT